ACTCCGGTTTTTCGCCAGACTGAAAGCCAAAGCCAAAGCCAGAGACTCAAAAGAGTCTTACCAAATATTTGCGATATTATTTAACCTGTTGTTTGCTCCGGCGGCCCCCATTCCCATTACCATTCCCATACGGGCATTGTTTTTCTTTCTATTTCTATTATTTCGATTGCTCTTTCCCTGTTTTCCTTTCGCGTTCCATTAGAAGACAAATACTATACCGAATAAATAGATTGGGTGTGTCATTTCTGTCAACAATTTGCTGCATATTTTCAAATGCGGAATTTCTGTTATTGAGGAACAGAAATACATACATATACATATATTAAGAGGAACCAAACGGAACAGAACGAAAAGGCAAAAACAACGCCGCCACAGACGAAAAAAAAAAAAAATTTCGCCAAATATTGTGTCAAGTCCTCTGGTCTTAATTTTCAAACAATCCCGCTCTATTCAGACGTTCGTTCCCTGACAGTTGTCGAGCCAATTAATTTCAGTTTCAGTTTTTTGGGTATTTCTTCTGCCCCATGGAAAGTCTCCAGCTCTTCGGCACGTGTGGGGTCGGGTCCAAAGCAAACCGAAGCAGAGCTAAGTAAAGCCCTTCCCATATACAGATTCGATATAATCGTATTTGCGCAGCGAATCTCTTGGCCACTCTTGTCACTTGGCTGGTGGGTCTGTTTTTTTTTTTCTGTTGTTGTTTTTGTCGTGGGTGGGGACCTGTTTTCGATGTTCTAATTTGCGTTTGGGGCACGTGGCGGAGGCAGACCACTCAATCGCTGTGTGGGGAATATGTTTTTTAGCAGCAAGCACACAGCGAATTCTACACAGTTTAGTGCTCTGAAAATTGAAAAATGCTTTCCCAAAAAGTGACATCTCACTTAATCTGTTCGCTTGTTTGCTGATACCCTTGATTTGGTTCTGGCATGGTTAAGCCAGAAACTTTTGGAATCATAATTCATTCGATTTCCTACTTAATCGTTGACCCACAGCCTGATCAAACTAAACTTTTGCTAACCTGCTAGCCCGGGAAGCACTCTATCCCTCTAGCCCTGCCGCATCGCTTCATCCGTCTTCTCGCATTACTAAGCCACGTATTGCAGCCGCCTACGGACTGTCTGGGCTCCCATATTATAATGCCATCAGTGCCATTGTGGTTGATTGTTCCCTGCTGTTGCTTGTCCCGCCACTCAAAGTGTCATTATTCCCACAGTAAAAACTTGACCCACCCCCAGCCACAGCCCCTGGCAGCAGGCAGCAGGCACCAGGCACCAGGCAACAGGGAGCAGGCAGGAGGCCCACAAAAGAATACTCAATTGTCATGTTTCTTGACAATTTGTCTATGGGTAATCACAGCAACCAATTCATACCATTCATAGGGCCATACGTCTATACATCCATGCATCTATCTATCTATCTATCTATCTGTTCTTTGACAGTTTCTATGACCTTCAAATCTTTTCAATTCGTTTCGCCCTCTTCTCTGCACTTCGCTCTGCAAGATTCTTTTGAGGGGACTCTGACTCTGCCTCTGCCTCTGGCTGTGCCTGTGCCTGTGCCTGTGCCTCTGGCCCTCCTTCTGTCTATCTTTTGTTGTAAGCAAACCACAAATAGATCGTACAATATATTATTTCGATTGGACATGGTCTTTCCCCTGCTCCTCCTCCTCCTCCTCCTTTCTCCTTTCTCCTGCTTTCTATTTCTCTATCTCCTCCGACTGCTTCGCTGTCTTTCCCCCGACTATTCCAAGTTGTTAGAGAATGTTTCAGAGGAAGAAATCTTTCTTTGGTCTGAGTTCAATGAGCAGGTTGTTCTCACCCCAGATACTCGTACTTGTCTATGGATGGTATGTAATGGATGTACCTACGTATGAACAGTAGATGCTCGATAGCTACAAGCCATCTATATTCGAAATTCTTGGTTATTAGAAGGACCAACTATGTATGTAGTCTTCTGCATTATCTATCTTCTTAACTGAACGAACATCCATCTGATCTGAATCACGTTGGTTCACCGAAGAAATACCATCCTGGCGATAGGAACCCTTCCCCCCAAAACAAAATTCCATATAACCTTGAACCGAATCGCATTTCTAATTATCGAGCGTTCACTGTATCTGTGTGTGTGTGTGTGTGTGTGATTGTGTGTGCGATTGCATTACGAATTTTTGTTTTTCAACTTGTCGTCTCTTTCTGTGGCTGTTTTTTTGCCCTATGCATGTACATATGTATGTATCTGTATCTCTGACTCAATTGTTGGTATCGCTGTAGATTTGGTTGTTTTTTTTTTTTTTAACTGATAAGCAACACCATTGCGGATGGCCTGCCTGCCTCTGTTAGTTGTTGCTGTGGTTGTTGTCGGTGTTACCAACGGAGCCAAGCCAAAGCCGCCAAGCAGCCAAGCAGCCATCGGCTGTGACAAACAAATGACGAGACGATGGATGAAGACGGCAACGAAACGAAAGCGGAAATGAGAAACTGAACAACAGCGAAGGCAAAAACGAAAAGCGAAAAAGGAAAAAAAAAATAAATGTCAACAGTAATTGTAGCAGACCCAAGGTTTTCACAATATGAATGATAGCTACACCTGATACATACATACATATTTACATCATACATATATGTATGTATGTATGTATGCATGTATATGTGTTTGTTTGTACACTTTCCCATTTTTACCTGGCGTGGCAACAATGAGACGGGTATAACAAAAGAAGCAGCAGCGGACGAGCAGCGACTGCAACAACAACAATTCCATACCATTTCCAAATTTGTTGTAGTACTTTGTGCCAACAATTTGAGGTAACTGTAAATTTTGCTATGAAACTCAAAGCTGGATGCTACGAAACTCAAAGGGTGGATGATATGCTAACTAAACTGCACGGACTGCATGTGCTTCAAAGCTGCCTGCTATGGACTGCAGGTGAAAGAGATGCCGCCAGAGATGCAACCTGCTATTAAAGGCATGCACATATAAGAAGTCCAAGCTGAGTGCTATGAAACTTGAAGATGGTCACCATTAAAATCAAAGGTGTATGCCATGAAACTCTACGCCGTACATACAGGCATAACAAAGAGCAAAAGGTTTCGGAAATCGAAGGAACAACAAAAGTTACATCTACAACAACAGCAACAACAACAACAATAGTTACACCAACAACAAAAACAAACAGCGTCCGTGTACTTAAATCAAACAACAAAAGAAAAGGAAAGAAAAACAGAAACAACGAAGTGCAAAAAAAAAACGTGTGACTCATCGACAAGTCGGTGCATGTTCCATGTTCCGAGCATAGTGTCGTACTCGAATAACAGGGTATATCAGTGTGTGTGTGTGTGTTGCTAGGGGCTCGATTCAGAGCAGCAGCAGAGGAGCAGCAGAGCAGCAGAGCAGCAGCAGCAGCAACGACAATGGGCCTCGTGAACATAAAGCAACAACATGGAACAATGGGCCACATGTGCAGAAATTGTTTAGCATAGAAACAAAAGATAAACCATGAAGCAAGTGTAGCACAAAAGGAGAAGGTAATAACAGTTGAGAGCCAAGAAGAGGAGAGTACGAGTGAGGGAGGGAGAGAGGGAGGGCCAGACAAGAAGGATGACGGTGTTTGTGTGTGTGTGTGAAGGGGAGGGGAATAAGAGGCAAAGTCATCGGGAATACTCCAGTGATTATCAGATTAGAGCCAGAGAAATATCCGTAATCCCCTCAGAGGCCATTCCAGCGTTGGCTAAATAAACTAATTTCGAGGGAAACAGTACGAAATCGTATCCGAGAGATACATATGAATGGGCTTGAAGTGGCGGCCCACAGGCCACAGGCAGTTATTATGCGAATATTCAGGCAATAAAAAATGTAAATTTTTCGCTCAACTTATCTGCGCGTATTATAGGTAGCCGCCTGCCTCTGCCTCTGCCTCTGCCGCTGCCTCTGCCTCTGCCGCCATCCAAAGAGTCAGAGCCAGAGCTAAAGATACGAGATCCTAGATACGAGATATGCACTCAAGTACATGCCCGAGGGCCTAAGGGGGCCAAGAGCTCAACGCTAATTAAATAATAGTAGTACGGCATTTGTTGTTGCTGCTGTTTCTGTGTATCTCTGAGATACGCTACGCTTTTATCTGGCAGCACAAAAGAAATGCTCAAATTAAATGCGAATTTATGGTATTCTTCATCTCGTGCTGTGTTGTTTTTTTGTTTTTTGTTGGATTTTTTCCTAGTGCTTGGCAGATTTCTGCTTCCATATATGGCAGAGAGAAACTTAACGGTCGTGAAAGCAACAAAAAAAAAAAAAAACCAAACAATATACAATGATAATTCCTACTTTTGTGTGCAGCAAATGAGGAATATCTATTTTTGTGTGGGCCAGAGATAAGTCGCATCTAAATATATAGTCATATATAGAAAATGGTGGATTTATACTGGGAGAGAGCGAGCTCTGTAATTAATTATGTATTTACACACAAGAACAAATATTGAAACGAGAGATAATCCGCCTAGGAACCCGGGATTGTATCTCTGAACAGGTTCCTTTGTGTGTGGATACTCGTACTCGTATATATTTGCTCTTACGAAGCATTGACTCTGTTGAGGTTGAGGTCATCCCCGCACAATGTTCGTTTATGAACAGAAAACGTTATATGGGAATCCGGTACAAGGATTCCAGCACCCAAATACGATGATTTTTCGATCTAGTTAGCTTTGATTTCACAGTAAACTTAGTTTCCGACATTTCACAACTGTCGAACCTTCGAATTTTCAACACAAGTGAAATGATGTCGGAAATAGTGGGAAAGAGCAGTTCTTCCGGGTCCTTAACGCCCACAAATCGTCGTCCGGTCCTCTCCACGATGGAGCTATTGGGAAGATGCAAGCGACTGCTGGCGCTCAAGGAGAATCAAACCAGCAACGATTTGTGTGAGATCAAGGAGCGCTTGTTGGTCGCCATTTCCAACCCATCTCTGACCCGCATCGATTCGCTGGCAAGCTTTAAAGAAAGCCCCATTCCGTCACGGGTGAGCTCCTGTAGCGTAAGCTCCAGCAGCTCGAGCAGTTTGTCTTTGGTATCTGGCATTTCCGGATCATCGCCGGACTCGCTGAACTATCGCACACACATGCTATGGGACTACGTCAAGGTGCAGGATGGGTGCAGAGTGCAGCCAGAGCTGGCCACTCTGCCAGTGGAAATACAGCAGCCGGTCATACTCAAGGAGCTGATCCAATGTCTGGTCGGTGTCCGAGGCATCTACATTCAGCCCCTGCCGCCAGATGAGAACGATGGCGATACTTACTTTACCATCGACAGTCAGCTGGACAAAAGTGTCACGGAGGTGGTGCAGAGCATCCTGCCTCTGGCCACGTACTTCATGGGCATCCAGAGGATCATGGCGGCCGGCGATGGCCACGGACAGGTGCTCAACGCTCTCAATTGTGCCCTCCAAGATCTGACCAGCGATTTCTACATGCTGATCTCGAAGGCGGACGAGGAGATGAAGCGCCAGCAGATGACGATACAAATGCTCCACTACTACCTGCAGCCCACTATGTGGGTGATGGAGGAAATCTGGAAGGTGATGCGGAATATTCAACTGAATAAATGCCAGGGGGCCGAAGTGCTGAACCATCTGTACGGACGTATAAGCCTGCTGGAGGGCAACAATGCGGTCCAGCAGATGATGATCAATCTGACGAATACGGCAGCCCGGCCGTACATGCAGAAGCTGCAGCTGTGGATCCACAAGGGACAGCTGGTGGAAGACAGCAATGAGTTCCTGGTGCAGGACAACGACACGGGACGCCTGTACACGATGACCGGTAGCTACTCGGACGACTATTGGGAGAAACGCTACACCGTGTGCCGAGACGGGGTCACCACATTCCTGAAGAAGCACACGGACATGATTCTGGCCACCGGCAAGTACCTGAACGTGATCCGGCTGTGCGGCAAGGGGACGCTGCCCATCCAGGAGGTTAAACTGGACGAGCAGCTGCAGCCGACCAGTGGCGGGCGGATCGAGAAGGTGATCAACGAGGCCTACTACTTTGCAGCCAGCATGCTCCTCAACCTGCTGCTGAGGGAGCACGACCTGATGGGGCACCTCAAGTCGGTGAAGAGTTACTTGCTGCTGGGCCAGGGCGACTTCATCACACAGTTCATGGACGCCTGCGAGACTGAGTTGTCCAAGAATGTGGATGACGTTCAGCCCATGATTCTGGAGAACCTGCTGGGCCTCACTCTGCGGCTCTCCTTGGCCCGCCAGGATCCCTACAACGACGATGTGCACTGCGAGCTGCTCACGTATGACCTGGTCACCCAGCTGTCGAAGATTTTGGGCCATAATGGGGACGAAGAGGAGGCAGAAGAGTTGGAGGAGGAGCTGGAGGAGGAGGAGGATTGCCGCCAGGACCTCACCGGCATCGAGTGCTTTTCCTTCTCGTACGAGGCCAAGTGGCCCTGTTCGCTCGTCCTCAACCGCATTGCCATCTCCAAGTACCAGCTGCTCTTCCGCCAGCTCTTCTTCTGCAAGCACGCCGAGCGACAGCTCTGCAAGATCTGGAAGATGAACCACACGCTGAAAGGTCGGCCATCGCGTCAGCTCACGGAACTGCACCGGTCGCTGTGCACCTTGCGGCAGCACATGATGAACGCCATACAGAATATCGAGTACTACATGATATACGAGGTGATTGTGCCCAATTGGCATCACTTTATCGAGCGCTTGGAGACGGTGGAGAACGTGGACCAGGTGCTCGAGCAACACCAGAACTTCCTTGACGAGTGCCTCAAGAGATGCGTCATGACCGAATCCTCGTACCTGAGTCGTGCCATCTTTAAGCTGTGCAAGATCTGCATCGATTTCTGCGACTTTATCCAGCAGGAGAGCCTGTTGGAGCCGTCAAAGAGCTTTGCGGAGCGTGTCCAATATTTCGATTGGGAATTCAAGTACCTGCTGGTATCGTTCCTACTGAAAATCAAATATTCGGCCAGGAAAAACGCCAATAGCTTTATTAACCTGGTACATTGGGTCAACGTCAATGGATTCTACACCGATCAGATGGAGAAGCTCTCCTTAGAAACAAACACAGACCAAGACGAAGACCAAGATTCTGTTTGTTAAATTAATTAAATAGTTTCGAATTTAACTTAGAGAAGGACCTTTTTAACTTCCAGGAACCCTCATTTCCCTCTAGCACCGATGTTATTCCAAGTTTCATTTCCGCCTCGTTCTCATTACCATTTCTTCTCTGTGTTTCTTCGAACAAAATGTATTATCAGCTTAAATGAATTCTTAATGCAAAGACTCTTGTTTGCTGTTTCCTGCCTCTGTTTCCCATTCACTCTCGTGCTCAGGTTTCTTGTCTATCGATTTCCTGTTCCATTCAAGAGCTTTCTTTAAGAACTCGATTTGCCATTAACTTTCCATTATTATTATACAAGAATTTGCATTACGAATTGTGTTAAAGTTTCCTTTTGGCGCAGAGCCAATGCCACACACACGTCTGATTCCATCTTGCACACTTCACAGAACATTTGAAGATCAGGCCACATGACGGCAGTGCACCACAACGTATGCACGAGGCGATCCACCAATGCCAAACCACTGAACCACGCAACCGCACAATCGCGCACACTCATGGAGAGGGGCGAAAACCACAGCAATGACTTTATTTTAATTCGAAATTCGCCTCGAGTTCTGTTCTTCTTTTCCTATACTTGGGTTCCATGGGTGAGTTTTCAGTTTTGTTTCAGTTTTTAGATTGGCATTAGTCATCATCAATAGCCATCGTCATCGTCAGTCGTTCTCATCGCCAGCAGTTGCATTTTGCTTTTGGTCTTTTGAGCATACACTTGCAACAGGGTATTCGAATTCTAACCAGCTGTTGGCAATGCAAAGATCTGTCTTTTATTGTCGGGATCTGGTGTTACGGTTACTCTAGAGTGGGCTTAGTCATGATTGAATCATTGTATTATATTTAGCTTACTTTTTAAGTTAACTTTAGAACCTGCAGGCAGAATTACGGTAGGTACTACATCGAAGAAGATTTGATCGGAAAACAAGGCCACGATCCTTAGTAATATAATATAATATATAGGTATAGTAATATAGGAAAAATATATTTAAAATACAATATATTATACAATATATTACATTTGTAAGAAACATATTTAATCTACATATACAAGTATTTTATTTAGATATGAAAAAATATACTTAAATCAACTGAAAACACTTTCTTTTCGTAGCGAATCTATGGGTTATTTGGGTTATGGCGTATTACACCTTATGTAGAACTAATCCTACAAGAAATCAACATCTCTTTTGAAATATAACGATGATGAACCCCCCCACAGGCAGCCTCTACTTTGATTCGTTTCTTTTTAAAGTCTTGTCTTTTGACGAAAGGGTATCAAAAGTTTGCCCTCGTGCTTGGTATTATTTTCCATTTCAGCTGTTTGAGTTGTTTTTGGGTTCTTGGGCTTCAACCTGTTGTCGTTTATTGTACTTGACAGCAGCCATCGAAAGGGCAAGCAAACACACATTTCGCAAAGCTCATTAAGTCTGTTTTTTTCTTTCTTGTTGTCTGGTTTTCTTTGCAGTTCTCTCTGGCTGGCTTCTCCCTGGGCACCGGCAGCCCCCATCCAGCCCCCATCCTCCCCCTCCGCCCCGTAAGCCCACTCTCGAGAGGCACCCCCTTGGTACCGCCATAGACCGAGGCATGAACTGTGCTAAATTTCGTAATCGAAAGTTGTTTTGATGGCTCGGTTTTCGGTGAGCAGCGCTTAGTCAATGATATTAAGTAATACTTAGATGGATATGTGTGTGTGTGTAAATGTGAGCCTGATGCAGATGTATGGGTGCATTTGGGTACTTAATGTACTCGAGGCCTCATTTGCATGAGGCCCGTCGTCGACCACTTGGAATTGAAATTATTTTGAACCCGCAACGAGAATAAACATTTGCCTCAAAGTTGTTTATGCAAGCTGTTTTTGCCATTAGTCACCGCCTGCAAATACAACTACTACTTACTTAAACAGATCTACTTACTATATAGCCACGATATATGTACACGTAGTTCTATAGAGAAAGTTCTATGGAGTTCCACTTGGCACAACCTGGATGCTCCATCTTGAGTGGCTCAGAAACTCAGCACGGAAGTGTCTACAGTATTGGCTATATAGACGGAAAACAATGATAAGATTAAGGAAAACAAATACGGATATATGGGGTTCATCTACGGAGAGCTATAGAATACTGGAAAATACTATTCAGAGGAAGGTCTTGCCTTGAATGAATCCCAAACAGATGGACACGTACTACATACATATATGGAAACTTATTCACAAAAGTCTGGAAATATATATTATTAAATGATTTACTTTTAAATAGGAATAGTGAATAAAGAACGGAATATAATCCCTTCGTAATCTCATACTTTTCTCTTTCCTATAATTTTCCTCGAATATTGGTCTGCATATATGCGTCATGCGGCTGCGCCCCTCGGTCGGAAGGTGCTGCGACTCTGTCTGGAATTCGGCTTGGAAAAAATATTAGGCATTGGGAAGAGTGCTAAAGAGATATTTATATGGAAATGTTTCTTCGTTGTCCGACCTAATAAATGTCAGTCTGAGTTAATGACTAACTTCTTATGTAAATGTACTCCAATCAAGTTTCCCAATACGTATTTAATAGCAAACTGAATGATTCTGAGCGACTATTCTTATTAAGTAATTAGTTAATATATATAAGATATCAAAGCCGCCATCCTTTTGATTACTTCGGATTCCCAAAGTGAGGAAAGTCGAATCATTGTCCATTAAAATTAAAAACATAAACTTATTTCTGTGGCAAATGAGTGTTCTTTTTTAAATGCGGCGATGATGTCAGCTCAATTTCAGAATGAGAATCTTTCCTTGTTCCAGCAAAAACTTTTGACTTCACTTCAAAAGCCATGACATGACTTTCACAAAAGTATGCACACATATACATATGTATGAGTGCCCCATGAAAGCACCGATTTGTAATCCTAAAATTGAGCGATTTGAGTCCAGGTCTCCGTCTGGGTCTGCGTCTATAGTATTCCGTATAGTCACGGCAGTCGAAAGTTCACCGGCGAATGATGCAGCCATATCAATTAGCTGGCAGGGCAGTACTTATCAGCATACACCCCCCGCCCCCAGCGTCAGTTCCGATCGTTCCCATTCCCACACAGAGCATACAGAGAGCCAGAGAGAGAGAGAGTGTGCCTGGAAGTGCACGTAGGACTTGAGCGAAATGGCGGAGAATCCCGAGTCACATGGTGCACTGCACTACATATTGTACTACAGAACGAACGCATTGTCTGACAGCTGAATTATCTGTGCAAATAGTACGGGTATTTGCTGAAGCAACCGCACACTGTCTGGGTTGTCTGCCTGTCTTCCAGGCAGGTGTAGTGCACTCAGCACGTGTTATCAATGAATCAGAGGTCTGGATATGGATACACTTAGCATGCAAAGCGCATGGAGAGCCCCCACCTTTAGACCCCTTACAGCAGAAGCAAACCCCCAGACAGTATTATATACTAGATGATAGACTTTTAAATAGAACCACTCTAGACCCCAGGTATACACCTACTCGACTTGAGTGCGATTTCTCGCCCAAGCCCCACGTAACGCTCATTCAGTTGGCCAACGGGGTTCGATGGTCTGATGGTTTGATGGCCTGGCCATTTCTTATCAGCCTCTTCTAACAGCCAGCGATTGTAAAACCTTATCGATGGCCTCTCTTTCTAGACGTTCGGTCTTCGCCAGAATTTTTGTTTATGCCGAAAATACGAAAAGAATTCGGTCAACATCGATAGCCAAAGAATTTATTCGTATGATCACTCGCAGGAAAATAGCAAAATTCATTTGAATCCAACTCACTCGACGACGAGATCCACAAACAAGACACTTGATAGGCAGACAGACTGTTGTTGTTTGCCCAATCAATCAGGCGGTTCCAATGCCAGAGAAATGCTTAAATAGGCAGAGTACTATTATCGAACGGAAGCAATGTTGTGATCACTGATCAATGATCACTCACTGGGAAGCCAGACAAGTGCTGTATCGTCGCTGATTCGGGAAGGAGAAAGAGATCATTTTCGGTTTACACTTGCTGGGATTCTTGGGTTTCGTCTATTGAGGTGAAATGAGAATTGGCACTGGAAGCATATAAACAGAATTTGAAGCTTACGTTTTTGTAGAAAGTGTAAAGAGAACCTTGGGAAGAAAGCTAAGGAAACAGAAGGATGGTTAAGGTATACGATATAATACTCCACTCAGCTCTTAACGGAATAAAGAGCATTAAGGTAGGCTACAGTTATCAACCAGACAATTATTTATACCTCATATTACAAAAGTGTAATGCAATTTACCCCCAGACGGCCAACAGCCAAGGTCGGATCCACAGCCTTGATTCCGTAGATAGAAAAACTGGAATATACCTACCTCTATAGCGATTTGGTTCACAGATAACAACTGTCCAATTGCTTTCACTTGAGACTACAAGTTTTATACACTTATTTGGTCAAATAGTGACAGCCAAAGTCGGCCCAGATAAGATAAGAGCTGGAGATGTTTTGCTGTCTGAGCTGTCTAAGCTGTCTGCTTTCATACTATATAGACTATATATTCTGAAAGTATGTACATATATGCATGCTTCTATGTTTTAAGGTCCTAAAAGGCTCATCATTTTGCAGCTCATTGCCAGTTTCTAGCACTGAAACGCCTCAAATGTCAACTTCTTAACCTTCCATGACAACAAAAACACTCGTACTCTCGTGCTCGTACTCCGGTGTATGTTTGGGATGGGATGGATGTTGTTTTTGTGTCTGGTTCTTGTTGTCATAACTCTCTTACATAACTAATTTGCAAACGGCGCTGACACGGACTCCCCATATAAAAATGTCTCATATAGTTAGTCTAGCCCGTCCGTCCGCCCGTGGGACTGTTGTCGCTGTCGCGTACTCAAGAGAACATGAGTACTGGGTATTATTTTAGCTGTTTGCTGATTTGTTTTAACACCCGTTAATTGTAGAGTTCAAGGGTATATTGTATCTGTGAAGCATTAGGGAACTGGGAGCAGGAACCATCCCTCTATCTTCCTAGAGATGCCATCCCTGTACCATCTTAAAATCCACAATAAAACTATCGCAATCTGATAATGACAGCCGTAAT